TAAACCAAACTCTGAATTCCCAAACTAACGGTAAAAGATATCCCCGCATGTGTCTTATACGACCCTCCATTGAGATCGAACGAGGCGTTCTCCGTATCACTTGTGGTGCAATCGCTGCCCCAGATCAGGTCAGCCTTGAGATTTCGCTTGGCTGGGAGGACACAAGTCTTGTCTCTACATCCTTCTGTCCAAGCTCAACCAGAAAGCCTACAACAGTCTGCGGCGACAGGATTGCTCTCCATGCCTACACCTCTCCGGTGGTCTCTGCGTTCTTTTCGGACTTCCTTGGGGTACCCTGTACTCTTGCACGGTTCCCTACACAGACGACCAGCCGGTACTCGCGGATGCAACGGACGCCGAATACATGGAAGAACCGCTTCCGCAAGCTGATTATGCCAGGCTCGTTCCCACCTGACTTCCCTCCCCCGGCACGTGCGGGTGACCAGGCACAAATCACGTTATCCAACGAGTCACCAATTCTAATTGTCTCGCGTTCATCTGTCAACCGACTGAACGAAACCATCAAAGCAAACAGCAAGCATGGTCGCGGTAAGACTGTTGCAGCAGACGTCTTCCGGGGTAACATCATCGTTGCCGAACGCCTTGCTCACCGTGGTGATGTGGAACAACCATATGCGGAGGACCGGTGGTCCTCCCTTCGGATTGGACCAGACCAACTTCGGTTTGACGCTCTCGACACATGCCAACGATGCCAAATGGTTTGTATAGATCAGTTCACCGGGGTTCGGCGTGATGAGCCATTTTCAACGCTTGCTAAGACGCGAAATATTGATGGGAAGGTCTCGTTTGGCAAATATTCTGCACTTTCCATCGAAGAACTAGAGGGTTTTGACTCGGAGCTACCCGAGCGCAGGACGGTGATGGTTGGAGATGTGGTTGTGCCATCATACCTGGATGATTAATTTGAATGTTTTCTTTTTGTGATTGTGGGATTTCGACTCGTATTTCTGGGTGGACTTTGGTGTTTGACAGGACCTATCACATGCACATCTTGTATATCGCCGTACATACACAGTACCAAATGAAACAGGTTGTGACTTGTCTAAATTCTAAACAAGAACCCTAGAAGCTCCGCTTAGGAACTCCTAGCCACAAATGTACCTATACGTACCGGATTTTCCCTGGGTGGGGCTTTCCTATTTGAGCTGCTGCCGCTTTTATGAGGGTGCTCAGGCTCAGGCTCACTGAGTACATGTCAGCACGGGCTCAGATCAGTGATCATGCTCAGATCAGTCACGTGTATAATCACTGATGCTCAGTGAGTGATCATGGCCCGGGGATGCTCTCTGATTACTCAGTGATGCTCAGTGTCCAATCAGTGAGCAACACTGACGCACTCAGCCCGCCGCAGACTATACCTAGAAAGGATTAGCCCCTACATAGGGCCATTTATACTGTGATAGTTCGTTGATAGTATTGCTGCTGCCCTCATTTTTTTAAGCACTATATCTCACCAAGAAAATACGTCATGACCAAGGGGCGTAGCATAGAGCGGAGAACTCCGTCCGTTTCAGGGTGTTCTCTCCTTTTGTCTTCTATGAAGCGACATATCTGTCTGCATTCACACCATATACAAGGAATGTGTTTAGACTCGACAATTTGTGTTTCCGGACGAACAAATGAGCATTATGTAGAAGGCCAGAGTCTAGTCGAAATTCTTCAAGCCAATTCCTTGAAGAAAGCAAAGCTGGCATCTTTGGCTCCCAATCACGGAATACCAAGAGATCAATCAACTGATAATGGATAGGGGAGAAGTCTGTCTTAGTATCTACATTGATATATTCATACTGTAAACGGCGGACCTGTGAATTACTACATCGGGTTAGTTTTGACCTTTTGGGTTTAGCGCCCCAATACGCTGTCAACCAACCTTCAATGCCGACATAAAAGACCCGTCTTGGCGTCCTGTTCTCTTCTGCACCTTCGGCACAACAGGACGCTAACCCCACGCGTCCGCCACTCGAACCCAATAATCGTTCGGACAGTGGGTCGGGTGATCAGCTTATGCTCTCGCCACAGGTCGATGGCACGGGAGATTCAGTGTATACCGTCCCATTGACCATTCCGTTCAGCGTTGGGACATTGAATATTTCCCGCACAACGGAAACGAAGATGATGGTTCAGCTGTTATTGTGTCAATTGCAAAATTCACATCAGGTATGCTAAGGTCTTGATCGACGGGTCCAGGGTGCTGAGAATATGCGGGGAGAGAAGAACCTATGTGCAGGGTCCAATGCGCAGCTCCTAGAAAAGGTGGGAGAATTGCAACGTGTGTTGGCGGCGGTCTGTACGCAGACACCGATGTAGAATATGTGTGCGACTTTTCAAGAAACAGGAGTGGCATATTGATGATCTGGTCTTTAGTCTCCAGGCTTCCTCTTTTTAACGTTCTTCTTCTTTTAGGCTGTAGTCATGGTCTCAATCGTTGGCTATCTGCCCCGGATTCGGACGCTTTTTGGCCACCTGCGCAAACCCGTTTCATTTCATTCCTGACAAAGCCGCGGTCAAACCTGGACACACTCCAGTTAGCCAAGCCGAGCGTGGGAAAAGAGGGACTCGGCACAACGAAAGTGCGTTGGCGAGGGCTATCTCGTGTTCTGGCTGGGTCTAGCACCGCTCGCGTTGGCTGTGACTTGGCTGTGACTATTCATATGATGAAGACGCCGAGATCGAACCCCCATTTAGACTGTCTGCTTCTGCTCATTGAATAATCCAGACTCAGCCGCAATGGCGGCCTCACTGCGCAAGCTCATGGGACCAAGGCATCTTGGGGCGAGGAACAACGGGAGATGAACTCAAGTAAGCTCTATGGGGCCTTGTAACTACGCGAGAGACACCTACGGCAGCGATGGAGGTGTCGAATCGAATTGGGTGGCTATACTTTCCACTGCAAGCAAAGCTAGCTAGGTAGAGCAATGATGACAGGTATATATCTCTTCAACCTCCTACTCCCACTTTCTCCTTCTTTCTCCACTATATCCATGGAAAGCTCGTCCTTCTAGTATAACAGCGACACAAAACTAGAAACAGTAACAGCAAGTATGACTTCCTAAAGCAGCTGACCGGCTCTTCCTCTCGGACAACGTTAGCGTGAAGATCTCCGCAAATAGTCCTTCCAGTTGCTCCCTTGTGATTCCTCAGAGGGAGTTGCATATCTTGGCGGCAAGTCAACGATGAGATCCAAAGGGTTTTCGTAACTACCGGCCATCAACCCTAGCAGAGAAGCGGTCTTTATTCGATTGTAATACCATGCACGCATAGATTTGTAATCAAGTTTGAAGGACTCCCGGATTCGGGATTTCTGCTCAGGGTCGAGTGCAAACCCCCGGGCTCTCTCGCAACAAGAACATTCCACGGTACAATGACCAACTGCAAATTTCCGTTCTGACTGGCGATGAGAACAGCATCCACAGTCTCTACCACAACAGCCTCCTCTCCCTATGCAATCTTCCACAAGTACTTGATGCATATACCATTTTGGCTGTGAGCGCCAGAAATCGATACCTCTGGTCAGCGGGCCGTCGTCATACGAAGACCTAATCTCCCACCAACGTCGTTCTAAGGTCCAATATTCCGTCGAAAGTGTCGATAATTCCTCCTGTAAGTCCTGAAGAACAGTCACGTATGTGTCTTCCTTAGAGAGATGCCCTATTTTCTCTTTCAAGGCTATCTCGCGTTGAGTATTCTCCCGAAGTGCAACTTCTGTCTGTAATAGCCCCCTTAGGTTAATGGGGCATATGGATGGATTATCTTCGTCGGTGAAGGTAGCGTATCGGTATCTTTGAAGAAGGCATATATCTCCAGAGCTTTCTAGATCAAGCTCTTCCTCGGATTTGTCACCCCACATGTAGTAGCGCATCTTGAAATATCGTTTTACTCAAGAATGTTAGGATGTTGGGTCTGCTAAAGGACCTTCGGATTGGAGGTTGATGTGAAATCGAACAGATTACCTGTTGAGTCCTAATTGCAGTAGAGACATTTCCAGGGATATCGGCTAAAAGTCAAATCGCCGGGCCTAAGAAAGGAACCGGCCGTGGGCTAGTATTATCATGAGAGCAATCGTCAGGATGACGGGTATATAAAATTGAAGCCAGTGGTGAGCAGAACATACATAGGTTTCTGCAACTCTCTCTAAGACAGAAATTTGAGTGACACACACGTAGTAACGAACCTATCTATCTATCAGAAGCGGCGGCAAACAGACACATCAGAACGCATGATGTGAATACTGATGTCTTTTCTTTCTCCTTCATGAAATGAGAGAGGGCACTGCCATGCTACGGGAACTAATCAAAACGTGACATTATCCAACATCGTCAAAGACGAACCCTGGCTAGGTAGTGAGATGCCTACATAGCAGGACATCCTCTAGCCCGGATTACGACTACACCACGGTTTTACTTCCTCGAGGGTTGTATATTTTACTAGACCGAATATTACTCTATAACATAAACGGGTAGGTACTATCAATCCCCAAAATATAAAGTGTTTACCAGTACGGTTAACAGTGGTTTATGTGACTCTTATCACAATTGGTCTCACTATGGTACAAAGGTAACCTGGACTAGTGGACTTAACGCTATGTACAAGGGTAAGAATGAAAGAAAGACTTAGAAGTCAAAATAAAAGTAAGAGAAAGGTGAGTAATAAGTATAAAAGAGTAATAAAAAAGTGAGAGAAGAGTAAAGAAACACTGAACACTGAAAAAACTTGACTTTCGGCATTGACGGCTCATCGATCTCTAGATCCAATGTTAGTCCTTTCCATTGCCAGGCAATTTCAGATAGAGGATTTCGCCGTGTTCAGACTTTGGTATGTATGTTTTATAAAATGCAAGTAAATGGCTTTTATATCTGTTTCATGTTAATGCTTAAGTGTACTCACTTACAATTCAGGTCAGCCTTTCTCCATCGGATTCATCCGGTTATACCGGCGATTGCGGCAATCTTTGCAGCCGCAGGTTGCAGAGTGGCCGAGAGTTATGGGTGGCAGCTCGTTAAAGCGCCGGGGGCGATGTCGGAGGTGGCTAGAGGTAGATGAAGACACCTGAGGTTCAATCCGGATGGTGTCCGGAGGGCGGATGGGTGGCACTGGGGGTATGTCGGCCACGACAACGATGTCGGAGCACCCTGGTACTGGTCGGGCTGGGGGGCGCGGGCCAAGCCACCTATGGACAATCAATCAGTAATTATGCACATGAAGCTTGAAACAGCCATCCCCAGTGTGACAGCGCACATAGGCTTTCCGTGTACTTTACCTGAAAGCCCAAGCCCGGGCGATTGCTGCAATAGTCATTGTCATGTTGCAACAGAACAAGAAGACCAAACAAAAAACTGCTTGTAATGCCCTGGCCTTCCAACTGGGGGCCAAAAAAACTTCGTGCAAGAACTCGACAACAGACTTTGGTGGTTCTGGAGCTGGCATTTTGAAGAATGTTGGTGGCTTACAAAGTCTACTATTCTGCGCATTTAAGATCTGGTCTTGTCTTTTCTAATGGCGATTCTAGGAATGAGCCAACGGGGAAAGTCTTCCGGGTAAATTGCGGTTGACAGGGAAGGAGCGTCTCGATAAATCTGACGATATGCATTTGTAGCTCTTCTCTGGGAGATGTCCTACATACTGTTTGAACTCAAGTTTTCTGACCGTGGCCTGCACGCTCTCTGGGTATACGACCCAGTAGTATGGATTTCAAAAAGGGCGACGTGCTGGCCCAGACAACCTCGCGTCCCGGCCCCGAACTAGTACAATCAGGCATTGAACGTACCCGGCAAGTCGGCCAAACGTGACTTACACTAAGCAGACTGGCTTCAAGCTTTTTGGTATGCGACGGTTCGCCTTCCAACAAGCGACTGGGACGCCACTGATCCGCATCAACACCCCATGTCGGCTTATAGCGGTTAGTAATATATGGACTCATGCCAACCACGGTGCCTCCAGGGTAAAAGTGACCACAGATTGTGGCTTCCTCCGCCGGAACCACTCGTTCAAGAGGCATAGCAAATGGAGCGTCAAGCCGGAGTGGCTCTTTAATGCAGGCGTCGAGGAAGGGGAGGTTCTGCAGCTCATGCCATTGCGGGAAAGGTAGAGTGAGCCCGGTGGCCCCCAGTGCGTTGCTTATCTCGCAGCTCGGCCCGTACCGTTTCCAGTGCGTCAGGGTGACCACAGACCGAAGCATGGAAGCCGTGGAGTCGGCCCCTCCAAGAATATTGTCAAAAGTCCAGGTTGACACAAATCGAAGTTGCACATTATCCTTTTTCTCCTGGGCATTGTGGTAATACCCGAGGAAGTCACAGTCGGCAATGGTTCCGTCGACGTTTGCATTGGAGGGCGATTTGGGACTTTTCCGATGTTCTTCCTGACGCTCTGAAATACTCGCCAAGACGTAGTCCAGCAGAGGGCAATGGCTTCGCGTTTGAAAAGATTTGCTACCCAGTTCTTATGCAAGAGCCAATCGAGCCATGGTATCTGCGTCATCTGCAAATGGTTGAGACTTGCTCTCTGTCAAAGTTCTTCGTCATGTATAACTTACGGGTCCGATAATCAGGTTTGCCCTGTTCACGTCGTCCATGATGCCGTGTAAGTCTCTCCCATGCTGAACGTAGCCATATGGCCGGGGGAATTTCATCAAGCCCATTGTATCGTAGGATAGAGATTTCATCCACTAAGTCACATCGAACTGTGCTCCGGTGGGCACAAACCGGCGATCAAGCTCGTCAAAGAACATTTGTGAAGCACTATCTATTCTTGGCTCAAAGGAGGATACAGTGTACGAGAGCGAATAATATATAGAGATGTGCTGCTTCGTCTCTCGATGTTTCTATCGCTTAATTCTACGAAGAGGATATTATATAATCTTATTATTATCTAGTTTTATAAACTCTTCTAATAGCTAGTTTTAGGATATATAAGTAGTATTAAGATTATAGTTATTATTCTTATGAATAGCTACTCTAGAAGTCTCTAGTAGGTCTTGACAAGGCATTATCCGGTACGTATGTAATCTGTCTTCTCTGGTTCGAGGTAAATTCTTCGCCTACTATTCTCAAGAGGTTCGGGAAATATACAGAAGTCTTAGTCACAGCAGTTACCGACTACCAGTGCGCCATAAGAGGGTTTGCGGTACTTTTAATTCGATCCTAACTATCATGGTATTGTAAGGAACAAATCCTGAGCTATAATATCGACGATCAGACTGTAAAAGTACCGAGAATGGATCTTGGAAAAGCGAAATTAGACATCCCAAGGTTCGAGTAATTGAGTATCAACAAATTAAGCATCAAAATTGTAACTGCAGAGAATTCAATCATTTGATGAACATAGAAATGACGTCCATGCTAGCGCATACTAAGCCACGGCAGTCGCAATGACATTTTCTTGGACTTTGGTGAAAGGCGCCGCGAAGCCATAAGTCTCGTAGCCTTTAGAGTAATCTTTGCCTTCCTCACGCTCTAGGAGAGATATATCAGTAACCGTCAAGCAATTGAGGATTTGAACCTCTAAAGAATAACTCACCGTGCTCCGGTGGAAACATCTCCATTCGATGCTTGTAATACTGCTCCCTAAGATCGTCTCCGTCACTCCTAGAGTGAAAGGTAGCATAAAGGCTCGACGGACTCTTATCGGTCCTGTTCTCAGCCGACCGATGGGCAAGATGTGACCCAAAGATCAGCATATCACCAACTTCAAGTGGGATAGAACTCCACTCGTGTGCGTGCTCCCATTCAGGCTTGATTCGCCCAGCTTCCGCAAATTCAACTTTCATCTTGTGCGACCCGCGCACAACTTCTAGACATCCGTTTTCAGGAGTCGCAGCATCAATGGCAATGTTAGCGGTAACATGTTCGATGCGGCCGATGTGGTCGTAGGCTGGTGCATCGAGATGCGCTTGGAAACCGTTACCCTGGGCCTGTTTGTAGTTGATCTTCTCCTTGAAGAGGAGCATATCCTATAATTAAGAGCCAGGTATTAGCCTCATCTTAAGATACTTCGGTATTGGGAACCTCGGAAAGATACATCGCCTGATACTGCCTTCAGAATCTCGGCCAGCTGCTCGCCGCAGACCAGTGACTTGAACCCCGGGTGGTAGTCAATAAATCTTTCCGTGCGCATCAGTTGGCGTTCGCCATTAATGTTGATCTCGTCATAGGGCATCCATTTGCCCTTGACACGAGGCCAGGCCTGAACTTCTTGCGCCCATCGCTTGAGTTCTGTAGGGTCAACGAGTTTATGCTCGTCAGCGCGTAGGAGGAGATAGCCATTCTCGTGGTAAGAAGCTACTTGTCCACGTGTGAGAGGTGACATCTTCAAGTGGTTTGATCAAGAACAAGAACTAAGTATATAATAGATATATTCGATTATTCAAGAAATCTGGCCGAAGCGAAACGCAGTAACCCACGAGCCTTTAATAGGTTCGAAATGCGTTAACTTAGATTGCGGAGGTTCCCCGATCAGCTCTCGATTTCCCAAAGAAACCCTGCAGTATCTCTCAATAAGTCCTGTTGCATGAGAATTGAGTGAAGGTGTTCGTCCCGAAGCCAGACAGAAACGCTTGGGATACAGCACAGACCAACGGGCTTCATGCCGAAGCCAAATGCGATTCGCTCAGATTTCGAGGTATACTATGAGGCATTAGAGGGGTAAGTTGGAGAAGAGCAAATGCAGGACGGACTTCGTACCCCGTGCAATTTCACCAATGCCATAATGACTTCTAATATGTCATCACAACACAAAATGACCAAGGAATGTATTGAGGACTATAAGAGACCATCAAGTTGAAACAGCAAACACCTATCAAAATGGACTCGAAAATGATAACCCCCCAAACTGAGAAAACCGTCGCCTCGACCGAGGAAAATACCCGAGTAACCATTCAAACATTGTTCCAGTTTCTGCACGCACAGGGTCAGGGTGACTATCTCGGCGAGCAAGTCACCCAACTAGAGCACTCGCTACAGTGTGCATATCTTGCTACACAGTCCCCCGAACACGGAAATGACCCCGAGGTCATCCTGGCTGCACTTTTGCACGATGTTGGACGCTTCATCCCTGCGGCGGAGAAGATGGAGAAAATGATCACTCCCGACGGCCAGTATATTGGAAGACAAAGCCATGAAGCTCTGGGAGAAGCTTACCTGCGCCAGATTGGTTTCAGTGAGAAGGTGTGCAAGTTGGTTGGCGCGCATGTGATGGCAAAGCGCTATTTGGTCGCGACAGATCAAAGCTATTATGACGCACTGAGTGAGACCAGTAAGCGGACATTGAAATTCCAGGTATGTCACTTTCGACTTCTTGTATTCTCGATATTTGAAGTATGTTGACGGCTGTTAGGGCGGTGGATACAATTCCGAGCAGATCCTGGAGGCGCAACAGGATCCCTTGCTCGAGGCAAAACTTTCTGTTAGACGATGGGATGATCTCGCGAAAAAGCCGAATTTGAAAGTTCCTCTCTTGGAGGCCTATGAGGAACTTGCCTATCAATGTCTTCTTGGTGAGTGTAATCATGACCTTCTATCAGTCAATACAGACACTGACCACCAATCCAGACTCCCGGTCGAAAGATTTTCTACATTAGAGGGAATATTTACAGCCAACACAGCTTACAGTCATTATTTTTGTTAATTGGTGAAGTTAAAAATGAAAGGAAATTTACTTAATCTTGTGCTCAACTGGTGAATCTGATGTTTCCCTATCTTGATACCTCTGGGCAAAGAGGGCCCATCGATGCATTATAATGCAGCCACCAATCGTCCATATCAGGAAAATTAGTTTGGAAATCAAAGCTTGCCATATTTTCCATCCAAATTGCATCAAATGCCGGGGGCTGCTCCTGGATAGGAGAGAAAACGATTTATTGTTTCGTGGACGGTGTGAGTAGACGCCTGGCAAATACTCAACAGCCGTTCCAAACCTTCGCTGATGACCACGAGTAGATGATGTTTATGCATAGATTGGGTGATATCTCCAAGTGCAGCCACAGTCTCAGTGACTAGGGAAATGATCTTGCCGGTATCAATTCTGATCATGAATGCATACTTTGTGGCAACTTTGAGGAGAAAAATAACGGCGAAGGCGAGCATGGTATCGAAATATAATGGAAGCCCATTCAAAAACGATCGAAATTCAGCATCACTGACAATCATCCGAAGGATTGACATAGCTGACAATACACCGGCATTGGCGATATCCTCCAGTTCAGGCAGCACGTATCGAGGTGAATCTTCTGATACCGGTACACCACGAAATGCGTGCGAGCAAAGGTATAGCTTTGCAAAGTGAAAGTGAAAACCAACACCCTTCTGTGGATAATTTCCGACATTCTGATGTTCCTTGAAGCTTTCGTTCCAATCTGCAAACCACGTATCCAAAGAAATAGAGCATCGACGCAATCGAGGTAGTGTCTGAGGTGCAATAGGGGTATCAATGTCAACACCGAAGGTGTCAAACACTTGACCCAGGATTGACCACTCCTTGACTTGACTTATCAATCTAGCATCATCTTCTGTGGCATGTGGCAGTTCTAGAATTCGACTGGCCGATTCGATTATGAACCCTTCTCTCGACATCGGAGGTCGGCCATAGGCGATCGAAAAGTGGTGGTCACATACATAGACGAGATAATATAGTCGCGCTTGAAGATAGCCATTGCGGTCTCCTTTAAGGGCTTTGTAGATACCACTATGAAGATTGATGTCCGACGCAATGCGGACAGCTAGTTTTGTTAGCTTCGCTTCGGCAGAAGATTGCACCCACGTACCGTTCCCGATCAAGGCCCAAGAAATCTCATGCAGCCAAAACGCACCGACACACAGGCCACGGATGTCATCTTCATTTACGTGTCTTGAGAAAGTTTGGGCTGCGACGAGATCTTTATATTCGTCGTAGCAAGCTTCGAAGAGATGGCCGAGGGGTTGAGAATGTAAAGCAGCAACGGTACAAATGGCCGCCGTTAATGATGGGGATGCGACTCGAACCGAGTCCAAACTAGTATGGTCGCCAAGAATGCGATAGAGGAAATGATCAAGTCTGAGGTGATATGTCTCGAATAATGCAACGGCTTGGCGTAAAGAGATAAGTCCTTTGGATATCAAATCTGGACGAGCAGGTGATAGATTGTTTGATAGACCTGCCTTCCCACCTTCTGATACACAAGAGGCTGGGATGGAAGCTGCGCCGCCTGGAGCATCCATTATCACTTCCCATGTCTGCGATGGCTCATGCTTGTCTTTTTGCTGAGATGATTGACTTGACGGAGAGGTTTCCCTTCTGCTACCTTCTTCATTCATAGCTTCGACTGGCGGACTCGAAGAATCATCTTGTATTTCAGGAGCAACTTGCAAAGCTTGTAACTCGGGCTCATCAACTTTGGCAGCAATTTTCGCAACTGCCTCTTCTAGCCGTCGCATCTTTTGTACCACGGCACCTTTCCATCTAGATTATATCAGAAAATGCCAGTGAAAGAGATTTTTTTCGTACTTACGTGACATCGTCTTCTAGTAATGTTTGCAGGCTCCGATTCACATTGCAAGGTAGACCTCTCTTCTTACATCGCGAGCATGGCATCTGCCCCTCCCGCATATGACATTTGACCTTTCCGGAGTGTCAGTGACTTGCCTCGTTATCTCCGGCAATTAAACTGACCTTTTGCTTTCGACATGCTACACAAGCAGTAATCTTACGAGTGATATCGGGTGGTTTTCGATCGCCAAATGATTCTCTCAAGGCACTCACGGCCGGCGGGGAGGCTAGTTCGATGTCCATATGTGCTTTCGATAGGCAGCACAGTCTGAAATTCCCAAGTGTAGTGTTTAACAGACCTTCGTCCACACAATGATCTTGCGGACTTCGCACCGAAGAGATACGGGAATACCCGCTATGCCCCACGTGGGGTTCATGTGAAATCCTGACTGGCCTCTGGCTGGCCTCTCCGTTAGACCCCGTGGCGACTTTGATGTTGCTCATTGTTCTACTTCTTCTCACGTTCAACATGGTCTAACATGGAAAGACTATTGGTCTCCGAAATACTGTCTTGGCTATGGGAGTAATTTTGCCTATTCCAATGAAGTGTATAACTTCATTACTCGAGACAATGTACATTCCTCCGTGCGCAAGCCTGAAATTGCGATTTTGTCTTGGTCGTTTCTATTCTTCTTAAATCTTCGTTGTTTCGCTTCAATGGCATCTCTGGGAGCCAAGTTAAGATTTATGGTCACTGCGGGTGTTGGATTCTTCGCAGATGGCTATCTCAACCTGACAATTGGACTTGGTGAATAGCTTCAATTGCTCCAATAGAATCGAAGACTAACATCAATTAGTGATACCAATTCTGGGTTATATCTATTTCCAAGATGGCAAGGTACCGTCAGTTCAGAGCGACATCATGAAAGGCGGCCTGAGTCTGGGCATGGTTGCTGGTCAGCTTCTTTTTGGAGTCCTGAGTGACGTTTGGGGTCGACACACTATATATGGTAAAGAGCTCCTCCTCACAATATTTGGGACCCTGATGGTAATCTTGTTGCCATGGAACCAGATGTCCCCCCGGTTTGTGACAGCATGGATTGCAATTTTTCGTGTTGTAACTGGCGTAGGCATTGGAGCTGGTAAGTTATGGCCGTTTGAGACAGAAAGGAATAGCGGGCTAATATGAGGAGACTATCCACTATCTTCATCTTTGTCGGTAGAGAAATCACCATTTGGCTCCCGCGCCATGCAAGTGTTGACCGTCTTCTCGAATATCGGCCTCGGTAATATTGCAGCCAGCCTCGTGTTTCTGATCTTGCTCAAGGCATTCGAAGGATCGATAGCCAACAACTTGAGCCATCTCGAATGGGTCTGGCGTTTGCTACTGGGCATTGGAATTGTGCCAGCGGTTTTCACCCTTTATGCCCGCTTAACAATCACAGAGACATTGCCCTACAAGCAATGTGAGACCCCTTGCAGTGTTGTATTTTGAAGATCACTAATGCCGCTTAGATGTCTGCGATGACACCGCTGGACAGAAACGTACATTCAAGCAGCAGTGGGAAGACTTTCGCGAGTACTTCTGTCATTGGAAACATGCCAAAGTCCTGTTCGCAACGGCAGCCTCCTGGTTCTTGTTGTAAGTGAGTATGAACTTCGAGAAAAGAATCCCCGATACTAATATGCATAGCGATATCGCATACTATGGTATCAATCTCAACCAAAGTATTATACTAGCAAGAATCGGTTATGCGAATGGAGAAACACCATGGAGGACTCTGTACAACACCGCTGTTGGTAATATAATCATTCAAGCGGCAGGATATCTCCCCGGATTCTACGTCGGCATCTTCCTTCCCGATCGTATTGGTCGTGTACGCCAACAATTCTGGACCTGTATCATGGTGCGCGTCCTTCATGCCATATGGGCTGGAGCTAGCACAAAGAGCGCGCACACTCCGACAGCTGGCTTGATGATCATCTTTGCACTCTCGCAATTTTTGCTGACCATTGGTCCTAATTGCACGACGTTCCTGATTCCCGCAGAAGTTTTTCCAACGCGTGTTCGAGGGACAGCATATGGAATATCAGCCTCTGCTGGCAAATGCGGCGCAATCATAACTTCATTTGCTTTTGGTACTGTTGAAGATGAAATGGGGTTGGAGGGTGTTCTTGGTTTGTTCTCGGGGATCATGCTGCTCACTGCTTTTATAACTTTGCTGATACCCGAGACTAAAGATCAAGCCCTTGAGAGCATTGAAAAAGATGAGCTCGGTAAAGCAGCTCCCACACTCTGTCTGAGTTACCTATATCAACGTTGATGTATTCAACGCAGTGAACATGGAGCTGTATGCAGCAAAAGCCAATTCAGGGAGTGACAATAAGGTGGCGAAATTACCGACACAGGCAGCTTAAGCAACGGTCTTGTGGTCTTATGATAAAGGAGCAATTGTCCTACCCAAGTAAGCGACTTCGACTTCAACGCCCCGTCTCCCCTCGTAAGGGCAAAAATATCATTCGGGTTTGCCTGCATGGGGATCATTGGAATGCCTCGCAGTGATGGCAACGGGACTTCCTGCTAGATTCGACGATCGTCAAGTAATGGAGACTTCATATGGTCTCGACCCTTGCGCCATCTGTTTGTTTGTACTATGTGTACTATTTGCAATACGTCATCAGGAAGTGCGTACTTCCAGCTTCCTGTAACTCCGACCTATCCGAAACCCCGAGAATATCCCTGATGCCGAGGAAGCTTCCTACGATCATTCTCTTCAAGAGTTTAAGCACATATCAACAAATATCTGAAGACGCTCTGGAGATACTCTGAAGATATTCTGAAGATATTCTGGAGTATATACATCGACACAACATTACCTGCCTGGGTATAGCACCTATCACCATTGATATCGGGCTGTTTTGATTGGTTCGACAGTTGACCCCGCCAATGGACCCGCTTAATATGATCAACATCACCTGATGACCTCAGTAGGGTCCAGCAACACCCCATTAAATCCCATTCCGCACATATTAACCCTTGTCTTTGACTAACCTCTTGGGGAGAATATTTGAAATGGATCGTTTACACTCCCGCGAAGGGTCCGACACCTCTCTCAACAATGCATCTATTGCTTCCCCACGATCCAGCACCGAATCCCGGTCTCCCCCTACACGAAACCAACTCCGCGTTTCACACATACCGCCAGCAAACCACCAGCACAGACAAAGCTTGAGCGAGACACTTCGTGGTCCACCCGGCTCTCCTCGTGCCCGTCGACAGCCGTCCCTCCCACAGTCCGCCATCCAGAGCCTTATTGACAATCCCCCGCCACCGAAGAATAGTGATCCGGCCTTTGTTGGTCGTGATTGGAGAGAAATTTCAATTGGCGAGCTGGTCAGCCCAGCTGATCTGAAGTTTGTGGAGCTTGACACGGGCATTGAAGAGGCAACAAACGTGAGTACACCACAAGGGCAACGCTCCATGTCCTTGGACTAACATGCTCGTCCCAACTAGATCTTGATTGATTCAGGTGCGGCTGTATTGTTGATCCGCGAGACCCCTGAAGCCACTTCTGCCGTCGGCACATTTGATTATGCCGATCTCAACTCTTATCTTCTACTGGCAGCGGGCCTAACACACCCTGACGAAGCGCATCAAGCGTCGTATGACGAGCTAGCCAAGAAGGCTCACGACGGCGTGCCTATTCCGCTGAGAGATGTCAAGAAGTTTGGTATGGAAAAGGAACCGCTGATTAAACTGCCGGCATCAGCCAATGTCTTGACCGCAGTTGAGATCTTTGGTGGCGGTGTTCACCGGGTCGTGGTGGTCAGTGAGTCAAATGACCAAGAAGTGGTTGGGATCTTCAGCCAGTTTCGACTGGTCAAATTCCTCTGGGAAAATGGTCGCAGCTTCCCGGTAATTGAAGAGCTCTACCCCAAGGCTCTGCGTGAGCTGGGGGTTGGCTCGCATGAAGTGATCTCCATCAAGTAAGTCGTTTTGGCGAATACTTGAGAAGCTTTCTAACCGCCATTGTGTCATTTGCAGTGGAGATAAACCCCTCTCCGATGCGCTTCATATGATGAATAATGAGGGTATGTCCTCGATCGTAGTCGTTGATAGCTACTTAAACGTCCTTGGGAATATCTCCACAGCGGATGTTAAGGTATGTGACGAGCAACCCCGGCTGGCAAGAGTTACTCACCATCTCGCAGCTTTTGACCCGATCATCTTCATTGCCACTTCTTCAAAACACCTGCACCCACTTCATCTCAGTCATACTGTCCACACGAGGATTGATTGAGGGTAAAGACTCATTCCCGGTCTTCCACGTCAATCCTGGATCGACACTGGCTCATACGGTTGCAAAGATTGTGGCAACTCGATCACACCGGTAACCACTGCACGCTTGAAATATAAGCAGAAGATGTACTGACTGCTGCTGTAGGCTCTGGGTCACCGATCCATTATCTCCAACCTCATCAGGACCGCCAACTCCATCGCATTCTTCAGTCCACGTCCCTCTTTCCAACAGCGTCAGCCCGGCTCCCGGATCGTCTACTGCACAGTCACCACCACCATCTCCTTCTTTACCTGTGACACCCTCTACACAGCCCTCTCAATACACCGCTCCTCACCTACCAGCTCCTAACCTCCCCTACACATACCCAGCTCCAGGCGTGTCAGTGCCAGTACCGTCGCCCATATCGCATTCTGTTCCCTCGTCGACCCTAGACGGAGCCCGGCTATCCGGCCGCCTAGTCGGCGTAGTCAGCTTGACTGACATCCTGAATTTGCATGCTCGAGCCAGCGGGCTGAACCCAGCTGACCCCGCCGAGTCCCGTAGCCGCCGCCGACGCAGTAGTTCCTCGAGCCAGAGTGTCCGCCGCAGTGGTGACATTGGCCGGGAGCTTTTCAGTCGTGGCATGTAAAAGCATACACTGCGTTTTGCACTTGGGCTCTATTGCAGAGCATGGTCGCAGTACACCTGTTTTTGAAACCCCCAACATACGAAGTCGCTCTGTCCGACGTGCTTGGCTCTGTTAGAAACCCAATGCCCGCCTCACCAGTCATGAATATGTGTCACTTCATATACAACATAGGACGCAAGCGGATGGACCTCCAGACTTGATCAGCCTCTCGTTATCGTCTTTAGCAGCGGATATGATTTCCATCGTGAATTAGTGTTACCAAAGGACCTTGGAACTTCAATTTACTTTGTCCCTACATAGTGTCTCGCGTGCATTGTGGTAGACTCTGTGATTTGTTACTTCTGGAGTTACCGTCTCTACCTTACCAGATAAGCCAGATTTACATCCACTAGGATCGACCGTTATCGGACATAGCCGATCAAAGCCACGTCTCGGCGCTGATCAGGCAAATCCCTTATTACAGCCGAGACAAATGCCGAATTTTCACCCAGTTTCAATCTCCACAGAAACAAAACTGTAAAATAGCTCCATCACCTGAAGAAATATATCCGGAATCCACAAAGTAGTTTTGTGTCCCACCCAATACCTTCCAGTGGCAGAAGCACTACCACACACGCAATAATATCCACTCCGGTACCTCCAGGACCTCTCTTGATCCTCGTATTCTGTCATTTCGGTAGGTATCTCATGGATTGGGGTTGAGCCTGACTCAGGTAGTGGCGTTGATCAGTTGCAGGTTTCCTGAATGCTTATTGTGTGGGCATCGATCTGGTGTATATGGTATGCTGGTTCATTTCTGCGATTTGGCTTCCTGTCTCTTACTGGCCCATCAGATTGAGGTTCATGTGTGACCTCGCCGGATTGAGGTCGACCGTGTCTTGATTGGTTCCACTGATTTAGGCGAGATCATATTGCGTTACCGAGCTTATGCGTAATTATTGATTTTGAAGGAAATACGTATGGAATTCTTCCATGGCAGGATTTCTTTCCCCTCACACTAGCTATATCAACATCTGATCTAGAAAAACCCAACAATCTCTCTCAAAGAAGCACAATGAGCTTAGCCCGAGATCGTCAACGCTCTAAAATCTGGGGTCAATTCGCACGAACCACTGCACCTCGTCTCCACCTCGCCCATCCAACCGGGTCTCCTATTGAGCCAACTCGTGCTCCACCGGCACCGAGAGCCCGGACTGGACGCTGATCATCGACATATCCCTTGAGGTAGGTATATCCGGGTTCATTACAGGATTGTGATTGGATGATACTGTAGGGTTATCTCAGGAAAGACTGGTGGTTCAGAGAGGATATGCCCAGGTTCAGGCTCAGGTCATTTCAAAGGCCAAATCTACAGCCTTGGAGGATATGGAGGTACGGACATACCTAGTTTACTGACCCTGTATGGTGTGAAAAATAACAAAATCCATTCATATACGAATCAACCATGCTAAGCACCACAATAGCACCATTCGATCCAATCTAATTGCCAAATTCGACCAATCTGGACCCTATGGCCTGATCGGTAATAAAAGGTGGATGCCCTAGTCAGGCCATCGTTGAAAAATGCCTCAAACGCAGGTACTGCACGCCCTAAGCAGGCTGAAAAAGACGGAATGGTGCAAGCAGAGCTCGCGAATTATCCCCTATCAGGGTCTACATCCATCATTACTATCACTGTGGGCCTATCACCGACTTTGAAAGCCATCCACATAGTACTCTGTCCATCTGACAGGCCATCCAATTTCCTTTGGAAGCCACACAGCGTTCAAGCAGATAAGCAAATGAGCACACGAGGGAATAGCCAATCATCTCTCCGCAAACGTGCACGGATCAGCGTTGCAGTGCAATCGAACTGCAACCGAATTAACCCAGGCAAGCATTCACACAACCCGTGGGTGGCTGCATCTAGCCTACATCTGCACGGGGATTCCTCTTACTCCAGCGCTGTTAGAGTTCGCTCATTGAATGGGTGAATTTTCCATGATTTCTGTTGATTTGTGTGCCGGTGATACCCAGCTTTCAACCGCTGGGACACTTTACTCGGGCTCAGTCAACCGTGGTAGTGATGGACTTTGTTGATTCCATGGGTCAGTGCGGGCGCTAATTTGGTGGCCAATTAAAGTCTCTCCCCGAGCTGCAACCTTAACCCCGCAAATCTGAATCCTCCAAGTTCTCATTTTCATTTTCATTACCATTTACCGTTACGATGGCGAGGATTTCAGGCTGAGGTATAGAGATAATCTCAAATTACAGTATCTCTAATAGCCTAGAAAATTTAATGGGATTTTAATGCACTAACCGTGACAAAAGAAATAAGAAAAGGATCAGCCGATCCTGCAGGATCGCCGTTGATCCATAATCCCGGAACCGCCTCAGCAGGGGGGGAAAGATAACC